CAACCCTGGTATGTGATGAAACTTTATAAGAAAGTTTGACTCAAAATGAACAGCAATGTCTGTTCTTGGCCCACCCTCATCCTCCTCTGCCTTGTTCAGAGGCTAATCCAAGAGGGAGACAAAGAAATGGTTCAGGTATTTAAAAAAAAAAAAAAAAAAAGCCAAGTTTTTTTCAGCTCAAAGCTACATGGCCCAGTGAAACATGCTCATTACATGTGTTGTAATGACATCCATTTTCTCTGTTGGAATAAAAGAAAGCAAATAAGAGTCTGCCTCCTCCATTTTGTCCTTTCATTTCCTCTAAAGTTCTTAGTCCTTTGGCAAGCTTCTCTGCAGATAATTCAACAGTTCTCTTCTGGTCTTGTGCGACTTCATTCCTCATTAGTCTTCTCCCATAATGGAAGTCTACCCTTTCAATAATATAATAGTCTAGTGTGTTAGTCAGAAAGAAGTATAAGGAGGCCCCGGTCCCACCACCAGCAGACACCCGCCAGAGTTCCAGCTCCAGCACAGGACCGCCTCTTCAAACCAGCAGACCACTGCAGGAGCCCAGGCCCAGCCCAGATCCTCCCACACCAACCTGAGCGGGACCCAGGTTCACAGTAGGCCCTGGTCCATCCCATCATCGCCAGAGCTCAGGCACAGCTCTGCCTGTTCAGGCCAATAGACCACCGCAAGAGCTTAGGCCTGGGCCAGATACACCCACACCGACATACACGGGACCCAGGGTAGGTCCAAATTCGCCACCACCCCCAAACCTGGGAGCCCAAACCTAACTCACTTCCATCTTGGGACACTGTAGACATCACCATAGCCTTCCCCCAAAACAGACAGGGCCTAGAAGCAACTACATCTCAGAGTAGGCATCCCAAAGACAGTGTAAGGCCCACTCTTTCAACCCATCTCTTAAGACATTGCAGAGGGTCACCTCCACTATTATCTCAAGCTACCTTGGCTATAACTGCCATTACCTTTAGTTGCAGTAGCATACAATGAGGGACACCAGCAGGGTCTGGAAGCCCAACATCAAGGTGAGGTACAGACAATCTGCACAGGTTCTACAAAATATAGGGTAGAAACTGTAATATCTCAGATCCACACTGCAAGAAAGGAAGACACATAGACAACATAAAAAAACAAGGGAGGAGCGGGCTGGGGTTGTGGCTCAGAGATAGAGTGCTTGCTAGCACATACAAGGCCCTGGGTTCGATCCTCAGTACCATATATGAATAAATAAATAGAATAAAGATACTGTGTTCAACTACAACTAAAGAAAATAAATATTAAAGGTGGGGGCTGGGGTTGTGGCTCAGTGGTAGAGCCTGGCACATGAGAGGCACTGGGTTTGATCCTCAGCACTACATAAAAATAAATAAATAAGATGAAGGTATTGTGTCCCTCTACAACCCCAAAATATTTTTTTAAAAAAGGGGGGTAGGAAAGTACCCCAAACAAACCAGAAAACTATAATAATAGAACCCATGGATAGTGAAGTTGAAGAAATGTCAGAGAAGGTGTTCGGAAGGTTCATAATTAAAATGATCTGTGAGTTAAAGAATGACCTAAATGAGCAAATTACAGGCAAAAATTGATCATTCCAACAAGAAGATAAGAGAGCAAATATAGGTAGCAAAAGATTACTTCAAGAAAGAGGTAGAAACTCTGAAAAAAAAAAAACAGTCAGAAATCCTTGAAATGAAGAAAACAATAAACCAAATAAAAAACTCAATAGAAAGCATAACCAACAGACTAGATCACTTGGAAGATAGAACATCAGATAATGAAGACAAAGTATACAATCTGGAAAAAAAGGTTGGCCACAGTGTGAAAACACTAAGATACCATGAACAGAACATCCAAAAATTATGAGACAGTATCAAAAGACCAAATCTAAGAGTTATTGGGATAGAGGAAGACATAGAAATTCAAACCAAAGGAATGCACAATCTCTTCAATGAGATAATATCAGAAAATTTTCCAAGCATGAAGAAGAAATTGGAAAAAACAAATACAAGAGGCTTACAGGACACCAAATGTACAAAATTACAACAGATCTAAACAAAGGCACATTATAATGAAAGTGTCTAGCATACAGAATAAAAATAGAATCTTAAAAGCTGCAAGAGAGAGGAATCAGATCACATATGGGGGGAGACCAATTTATATCTCAGCAGATTTTTCAACCCAGACCCTCAAAGCCAGGAGATCGTGGAACAACACATACCAAGCTCTGAAAGAAAATAGATGCCAACCAAGAATCTTATATCTAGCAAAATTATGCTTTAGATTTAATGATGAAATAAAAACCTTCCATGATAAACAAAAGAATTTACAACTAGAAAGCCTGCACTACAGAACATGCTTGGTAAAATATTCCATGAAGAGGAAATGAAAAACAATGATGAAAAACAGCAGAGGGGGGATTACACTAAAGGAAAGATAATCAAAGGAGAAACCAAGTCATGTTAATTTGTATCAAATTGTATCAAATCATGTCTCAATAATAACCCTGCATGTTAATGGCCTAAACTCATCAATCAAAAGACACAGACTAGCAGATTGGATTAAAAAAAAAAAAAGACCCAACAATATGCTGCCGCCAAGAGACTCATCTCATAGGAAAAGACATCCACAGACTGAAGATGAAAGGTTGGGAAAAAACATATCACTCACATGGACTGTGGAAGCAAGCAGGAGTCTCCATCCTCATATCAAATAAAGTAGATTTCAAGCTAAAGTTAATCAAAAGGGATAAAGAAGGACACTACATACAACTCAAGGGAAATATACACCAACAAGATATAACAATTATAAATATATATGCCTCAAGCAATGGAGCATCTACATTCATCAAACAAACACTTCTCAAGTTCAAGAGTCGAATAGACTACAACACAATAATTTTGGGTGACTTTAACATACCTCTTTCACCACTGGATAGATCTTTCAAACAAAAGCCGAAAAAAGTAACTATAGAACTCAATAATACAATCAATAACTTAGACTTAACTGACATATATAGACTATTTCATTCTTCAACAAGCGAATACACTTTCTTCTCAGCAGCACATGGATCCTTCTCTAAAATAGACCATATACTATGCCACAAACAAACTCTTAGCAAATATAAAAAAGTAGAGATACTACCCTGCATTCTATCAGATCATAATGAATGAAATTAGAAATCAATGATAAAACAAGAAATAAAAGCTACTCGAACATCTGGAGAGTAAATAATATGCTACTGAATGATCAATGGATTGCAGAAGACATCAAAGAGGAGATTAAAATTTATTAGAGGTAAATGAGAACAGAGATACAACATATTGAAATCTCTAGGACACTATGAAAAAGTTCTAAGAGGAAAGTTCAATGCATGGAGTTCATTCCTTAAAAAAGAAGAAAAACTCAACAAATAAATGACTTAACATTACATCTCAAAGCCCTAGAAAAAGAAAAACAAATCTACACCAAAAGCAGTAAAAAACAGAAAATGATTAAAATCAGAGCTGACATCAATGAAATTGAAACAAAAGAGCAATTGAAAAAATTGACAGAAAAAGTTGGTTCTTTGAAAAAATAAATAAAATTGACAGACCCTTAGCCATGTTAACGAAGACAAGGAAAAAGAAATCTCAAATTACTAACATACATGATGAAAAAGGAAATATCACAACAGACATTATGGAAATACAGAAGAGAGCTAGAAATTATTTTGAAAACTTGTACTCCAATAAAATAGAAAATATCAAAGGCATTGAAAAATTTCTAGAGTCATATGATTTGCCCACATTGAATCAGGATGATATACACAATTTAAACAGATCTATTTCAAGCGACGAAATAGAAGATGCCATCAGAAGCCTACCAACCAAGAAAAGCCCAGGACCGGATGGATGCACAGGCGAGTTCTACAAGACCTTTAAAGAAGAACTAATACCAATACTCTTCAATTTATTTCAGGAAATAGAAAAAGAGGGAGCACTTATAAACTCATTCTATGAGGCCAATATCATCCTGATTCCTAAACCAGGCAAAGACACATCAAAATAAAAAAAAAATAAAAATAAAAAATCAGACCAATATCTCTAATGAACATAGATGCAAAACTTCTCAATAAAATTATGGCAAATCGAATACAAAAATATATCAAAAAGATAGTACACCACAATTAAGTGGGGTTCATTCCAGGGATGCAAGGTTGGTTCAATATACGGAAATCAATAAATGTAATTCATCACATCAATAGACTTAAAGAACCATATGATCATCTCAATAGATGCAGAAAAAGCATTTGACAAAATACAGCACCCCTTCATGATCAAAACACTAGAAAAACTAGGGATAATAGGAACATATCTCAACATTGTAAAAGCTATCTATGCTAAGTCCCAAGCCAACATCATTCTAATTGGCGATTCTTGTGCCAAAGGAGTATTACTAAGGAAGTTGGGGCCTAATCCCACATGATGGAGATTTGGGCCTACTTTTTCTTCTAATGGACACAGTGTCTCTGGTTTAATTCCTAGGTCATTGATCCACTTTGAGTTGAGTTTTGTGCATGGTGAGAGATAGGGGTGTAATTTCATTTTGTTGCATATGGATTTCTAATTTTCCCAGCATCATTTGTTGAAGAGGCTATCTTTTCTCCAATGTATGTTTTTGGTGTGTTTGTCAAATATAAGATAACTGTAATTTTGTGGGTTAGTCTCTGTGTCCTCTATTCTGTACCATTGTTCTACAAGTCTATTTTGCTGCCAATACCATGATGGTTTTGTTACTCTTTATCTGTAGTATAGTTTAAGGTCTGGTATAGTGAGTGATGCCATCTGCTTCACTCTTCTTGCTAAGGATTGCTGCAGGGATACATTTAATTCACTTGTTATACAACAAATAATTGCTTTAATGAACAAGGTAAATTCTCTCCTATCAAGAAGTTTCAACAGACCGAACCAGATCCACTCTGTATTCTTCCTTCAGGGTTTATATGTCGCCATTACCTGTATAAGTGACGATTGTCTTCAAAATCTTCCTGACCCCATTTTCCCTTAATGTCTTCAATAACGTGATTCTTCAGGAACTTTTTTAGCAGCTGGACTGTTTGTTTGCGAGTCACTTCAGGACCAAAGTTTTGACTGCACCTAAGCAACTCATGCAGCCAATCCACAGCTTCTGTGGCTGTGAAGCAATGTTCATAACTCTTAAAACGACAACGATGTTTCCGTAATGGCATCCTGGCACGAAAAAGCTCCACTGTTTCATTCCACTAGGTTAAAAGAAGAGAAAGACATTTAGTCATTAACTGATTTTTTTTAAGTTATTATATTCTAAATACTTAAATCAATTGATGTGATTTTTCATTTAAAAAACTGTTTGGATAATAGATGGCAACTTGAAAGATTTTTATTTACAGCCTTCTATGAAAAATGTTCTAGAATGGATGGTGGTAAAAGCTACAAAACAGTGTGAATTTACTTAATGTTACTGAAGTATACACTTAAAAATGGTTAAGGGCTGAGGATATCACATAATGGTAAAGCTCTTGCCTAGCATGCACAAAGCCCTGGGTTCTATCCCCAGCACCACTAAAAAAAAAAAAAAAGCAACTTTTCAAGGGTAGTTCACCATCCATTCACCCCACCAAAAATATATATATATTGAGGAAGTAATGGCCAGTGAGGCACCCAGCACACTCATCTATTCTCCCTCTGGATAGAACCAAAGTGTGTGGTGGCGTGTTGAAGTGAGTGGCCATGAGAGAGAACTGCAATTCAACTGCAGAAAGATGGAGACCTGGTGAGGTCTGGAGATCCGAACAAAAGCAATAGCAAGAAGAACAGAGTGCTCCAATGCCTGCGGCCCAGCACCATGGCCAGGAGAGGGGAAGTCTCCCGTCTGACACAGTAAAAGTGAGAGTCCTAGCAAGTGCTATTGGCACAGAAGCCAGCACCTTGCAAACATAGAGCATAAACAGGTAACAGTCCTGGGGGTCTTCACAGCAGGCTAGCTTTAGAGAAGTTCACTGTACCCCCCAGTGAACTCCCAAGAAGCTGTAGCCAGGAATCATCTTGAGAAAGGGCCTATTGTCTGAGTTTGTAATGCTCTGAAGGTCAGACACCCCTACATATTATTCCCATCTCTGGGACCCTGCAGTCATCCCATTATACTACTTCAGCAGGAAGATGCCTCATGAGAGGGTCTTGGTTCAAGAGAGCAATTAAAATAAATCCACTCGGAGTTGTATGATGGGGGGGAGGATGGTAGAATTTGAGGAATGGGGAATCTATCCTCTGAGACTAGGGACAGGACAGTCACAAGTGGTTCTAAACAACCGCAAGGACCAAGGATACCAGGATCAAGAGCAGCAACAGATCATATGGTTCCTGCCACCCACCCCCAGCACTGAACTGTGGGATTCCATTGCTCCCCTCCCCTCTGAGTCATCAAGGCAACTGTTGATTTTGCTCTGCCTGTCCCCCACCTTCACCTGAAGCTTCAGAAAGAGCCTATACCTGGCACTGCCTGCCTTCTGCACTAGCTTGCAGGCAATCAACTCAGCTGAGAGGGATTTTAACTAGGTTCAGCCAAGACTGAACTCCTTACTCAATACCTGGCAGGTACTACAACTGAAAGAATAGAGCCCTGGCCAACACATTGCCCCTGGGATTCATAGCCTAAAAGGTCCCAGAGGGAAGTTTTGTAAGGCATAGGCCACATCATCTACCCTTGCTTACTCTTCCAAGCACATTGGCTGGGCGGAATATTTTTCTGTTGTTTTTTCTTTTGTTTATTTGGTTTTTCTCTCTCTCTCTCTCTTTTTTTTTTTTTTTTTTTTGTGCTCCCCTCCATTTTTTTTTAATGGTTTTATTTTGTTTTGTTTTGTTTTTCTTCCCAGTGCGAAAGATCAGGCACAGGACCTTTTTACAATGGGTAGGTACTCTACCAATGAGCTACTCAAAGCTCAGTCGAGAGGAACTACACCCAGCTCCAGCCATAACCCAGTCCCATTTGAACCCTGGTAAGCACCTCTACTTAAAGAAGAGGGGGGGGGAAATAAGTACCCAGCTGTCAACCTGTCTGTCCCCAAGCAGACAGAGCTAGGAAGAATCTGAGGTCCCACTCCTGCACAGACATCCCCACAACAGCAGCAGATACCACACATATGCAGGTCCTTTAAATTGGCCATACCTGAACCCTGTCAGATCATGCATTGCAGTAAAGACTGGATGTGAGTGCCATAGAGAGGGAAGCTGTGTTCTGGCCTCACCCCTCTTCATGAAGCTTCATGAAGTTGGGATATTATATAAATGCCTGTTAAGTTTATTTGATATCTAGTATAACTTAATTTTGATTTTTTTTTTTTTTTGGTCGAGTTTTTGGTCTTGGTTTATCTGTTGGTGAGAGTGAGGTATTAGAGTCCCACATGAATGTTGTACTGAGGTCTATTTCTCTCTTTAGGTCCAGTAGTGGCTCTTTCATAAAATTGAATGCTCTGATTTGGTGCATATAAATTTACAGTAGAGACTAAAAGAAATACAAAGGATCAAAGAAACAAAGAGTTGGTTCTTTGAAAAGACAAAATTAACAAATGTTTGGCTTGGATAAATCAGGAAAAAAAAGGAAGTCCCAAATAAATAAAATTAGAGGTGAAAAAGGAAACATTACAACTGATACCAGAGAAATTAAAAGGACGTTTAGGGATTATTTTGAAAAACTATATGTTAATAAATTGGAAAAAACAGAAGAAATAGATAAATTTCTGGACACATATGACCTATCAAAATTGAACCAATAGTCATAGTTGCCCTTACTCTTAATCCCAGAAACTCAGGAGAAGAATTGCATGTTTGAGCCCAGTCTTAGCAATTTAGTAAGTTTCACAACTTAGCAATACCCTTTCTCAAAATAAAATATAAAAAGGACTGAGAATGTAGCTCAGCAAAAAAGTTCTACTGTGTTCAATCCCCAGTACCCACCCCCCAAAAAAATTGAATATATGTTTAAAAGCCTCAATAAATTAAAAAGAAAAAGGTAACGAGACTGAATTAGTAATAAAATGTCTCCCAGCAATAAATAAGTTCAGAATGGTTTCACTGCCGAATTTTACCAAACTTTTAAAGAACTAACACCAATGCTCCTCAAACATATTCCCTAGAGTTGGAAGGGAAGGAACCCTTCTAAACTCATCCTTTGAGGCCAGCATTAACCTGCTACCAAAACTGGCAAGGACACAACAAAAAAAAGAAAACCATAGACCAATATCCATAATAAATATAAACTCAAAAATTCTCAACAAAAAGTAACTGCAGCCGGGCATGGTGTGTCACACACCCGTAAACCCAGTGGCTCTGGAGGCTGAGGCAGGAGGATTGCCAGTTCAAAGCCAGCCTCAGCAAAAGCAAGGCACTAAGCAACTCAGTGAGGCCCTCCTCTCTAAATAAAATACAAAATAGGGCTGGGGATGTGGCTCTGGGTCAAGTACCCCTGAATTTAATCCCCAGGACCCCCTCCCCTACAAAAAGTAATTATAAATCAATTTCAACAACACATTTGAACTTGTGCCATGATCAAGTAATTTTCATTCCAGGGATGCAAAAATGGCTCAACATAGTATCAAGGATACAAATTATATAATCATTTCAATACATGCAGAAAAGTCACTTGAATAACATTTAGCATCCCTTCATGATAAAAACCCTGAACAATTTAGGTACAGAAGGATCACACTGCAACATAATAAAGATGATACATAACAAACATGTAGCCAACATCATATTGAATGGGAGAAAACTGAAAGCATTTCCTCTAAGATCGGGAACAAGACAAGGGTATCCACTCTCACCACTCTTATTCAGTATAGCACTATAAATTTTAGCAATAACTCCACGACAACTCAGCTTCTCCTACATCAGTAAATAGGAAATCAGGAAATCAAAATGTCTAAGGAAGTTGATTTATTCCACTCATACTGGAACCTTTACAGACATAATATTGACTCAGTCAGCATCCCACTAGTCAGCTGGCAGAGTGGACATTGGAGGTGTCCAAGTGTGCTCTATATAAAAATAGCCATAGGCTTTCCACAGCCCTATGCCAGAAGACTCCAATGGCACCACCAGTAATGTTCTTGGCATCCCTCAGAATTATTCCACCCATCATTAACTTTTGCCTAGTCTTTGCTTCTAAAACATAAGTGTGAGTAAATAATATTTCCTATTTGTCCCTGTAAACTAGAAATAGGTTTCTAACTTTTCTCCCCATTATCTTCTACATACATAATCTTCAAAATAACCATCTTTCAGAATGTGAAGAATTTACTCCAAACTACACAGCTAATGAGGACAACCAATTCATAAAGGTACTTCTTATCCTGTGATTGAGTTAAATCCCAAAGAGCCAAGCAGATAAAGAAAGGAATGTATATAAATAGAAGAAAATCCCTGCCCATAAAGAGTCGATCAACTAATTTCTCTATCTACTCACCTACCTTGCTAGTTTGTTGTCAGGTTAAATGAGATTATGGCTATGAAATTCCTTTGCAAATGATAAAGTGTTTCTTAACTATATGGAAAATATGTACAATTTCAGGATAATCTCCCAAAACAAATTTTGGGGTTCAATCTATGCTATAGTCAGAAAGAATCTCTAGGGTCAAAGCAAAACCCTAGCAGGATATACAACTTGGCAAATATCTTTCAGGTACTTAATCTGATAATAAGATCTGGAATCCTGTCTTACAGTGATCAGCTTACTATATCAAGCACCCATGAACATCAAGGCCTTTCCACATACCATTTCCTGTTGCTACAACAAAATATCTGAGACTAGATAATTTATAAAGAATGAATGAATCTGACTTAACTTTCCTATGTACTTATATGAAAACACCACAGTGAATCTCCACATCATGTAGAACCACAAGACTGTGATCCTAATAAGAATAAGATGTACTCCATGTTTGTATAACTATGTCAAAATATACTCTACTGTCATGCATGACTAAAAAGAATTAAGAGAGAGAAAGTTTATTTATTGGCCTATAGTTCTAGAAGCTGAGAAGTCTAGAACATAGCTCCAATATCTGGTGAGGGGGCCTTCTTGTTGCAACATAACATGGCAGAGAGCATCACATGGCAAGACAGAATAAGCATACTTAAGGTGTCTCTTCTTACAATGCCACTAATGCTACTATGGAGACCTTACCCTCATAACTTCTCAAATTCTTATACTCTCTCAAAGGCCTTACTTCAAAATGCCTTTGGGATT